CACAGCCCCGCGAGCAGGACGAGGCAGGCGGCGTTTGCCATGCTGGATGGGAGGTTGGTTGTTCTCAGTCGATTTTTTTATTTGAATCGGGGATTCTGAAAAGGAGCAAGAGAAAGAGAAAATTAGAGTTCAAAGCAATGGCTTCACGCCGACACAGTTTTGCGACTGATATTATCCCATCCCTGCAAAGGTCTGGTAATGAGTTTAGGTTTACTGGGGCTTAAACTGACATTAATTTAAGCGCTTTACAAGGTTATTGACACGGAGATATCCATTAATAAAGCATTTATGTACGCAAAGAGACTTTTGTTGAAAACCCCATAACCGTTGTGGGGTATCCGTTCCCGCTGATCTATTAACACTCTGATAATGTCTGATAGTTATAAAGTACAGTAGATTCGCACTGTATGTGGTTGTAAGGTTCTAGACATAGCAAGTATAATCAGAACACCCTCCCTCAGATCCCCCTGTTCCCCACCCTCAACAAGTCAAATCAATCCTAAGTGTATTAGTATGTGTATATATGTAGTTTAAATATTATGAAAACGGTAATACAACAAATACAGTACTGTACAGTATACAAAGTAGATCAAATAAAATGTAATAATAAAATCATATAAGATCAGGCGCTTTTCTTGTCCTGCCTCTCCCCTCCGTACTTGTTTTTGGTTTACGAGCCGTATTTTCAGGGTGGAGCTGATGGAGAAAGCACCCGGCGTGCTGTAAGCTCTGTCTGTAAACTCGTAGCTCAGGTGTGTGCTGCACCAGGTTTGCATTTGTGGAATTTCCCGTCTTGTGATTTTTCCTTTATTTTTTTCCGGCTTAAAATAAGGAGCAAGGTGACAAAGATCTGTATAGAAAGCACTATGCTAAAAAAAAAAATGCTGGTGGAGATAATTTTTTTTTTTATTTATTATATAAAAAAAATTGCATATTAGTACTTAATGTATTTTCTTTTGATTTAAACTTGTGTTCTTTATGGACAGTATAATTATTTTTGTCTCGCCTGCCCCAGCCCTATTTTTCCAATTAAAATAAGTATTTACATAGACCGATTTTCTAAAACACGAGGTATCACAGGAACACAGCTGTCGCGTGATGGCAGAAATGACTACTTGTATGTGAGTTTTGCCATCTCTAAACCTAATGCTGCAAAAAAATAATAATTTTGCTTACTCTTGATCTCATCAGCCTCCGAAGATTTTCCTTCTTTAAGCAGTATTGTATCTTTGATGTGTAGTTTAGAAACCTGGATGTTACTTTGCATTTTTCACAACGCACCTTAACGAACATTTTGCAAGATGTCTGCAAGGCCTCAGAAGCTCTCCAGAGCGAAGCATGATACCGGGGTTGAGTCACTGCTATGTGTCATTATTAATAGCTGCCTGTTCTGGGGCTGAAAGCTGGATGTGATGCTTCTGTTTCCACATCTTACGCCATCAAGCTTTGAGAGCTTCTGAGGAAGTTCCTTTGAACTGTTGAGCATTGATCATCGTTCCTGCTTTCTTGGTCTGTTAAATGTGCTCCATGGCTTTCCGCCTGTGTTTTGGCACTGATTGTAGCTGACTGAGGCTGCACACCTTCTCTGCAGGTAGCCCCGGACATGATTTCCAGGCCCCTTAGCAATGCAAAGACTCCACACTTTGCAGGAACCGTTGTGTTGTACGCAGGCAGTCTGCACTGAAATATCTGACGGGCCCACCAGAACTTTTCACAACTGAACATTTTTCGATTTTTTTAGGTTGGGGGGTAAGGATTTCCAGCGGCCCGTCTTTAAATCTGGAACGCCAATCTGGCATTTAAACAGCGAACGCGCGCGCGAGAGAGAGAGAAATCTAGCGGCCTGAATGTTGCTGTGTGACCATTTCACCTGCTGGCTTTCTCGCACAACGCATCTAGAAGAGGAAAACGCACAGCGGCTCGTGGGCGACTCTAGGGCCTACCGCTGGCGTTGTCGTGTCAGGAGAGTCTCGCTCTTCAAAGCCGGCAGACGAGACGCTCAGACAGTCTTCCTGGCCATTGGGAACAAATGTGTTGTACTTACCACAGCCGCCACATTGCCATCCTCGCTGGGCCTCAGGTCCTCCTGTTGTCGGGGAACAGCCTGGGCGCACGAACCCTGGGGACAGGCTAGTGGAACTCGTGCCCCATGCCGTGTCCACACCGAGCCACAGAGGTCCAGACAGAGATGGGGGAGGTTTGTTCTCGCGGCTTTAAAGCGCAGACGAAATACGGAACTCGCAGTGCCCTCTGCTTCAGGAAGTGCAAGCTGTGAAACCAAGCTGACTAACGCCGCAGCTTCACGCCGTTTAGAGTTAAGTGTTTATTCGTTAAATGCCAGCTCAGAGACATTTTCCAAGAAGCTTCAAAGAGCCTCATTTCTCTCTGCAAAGGATCAAGATAGTGAATAATTCTGAAGAGAAAAAACTAAGGTTTAACTATTAAGTAAAAAAAAATCAAGTTTGCATGACTAATTTCAAAAGAGTGATTTTATATTGCCAATAATTTCCACTTTGAGGTTTTTTGTGTGTTTTAAGGATGTCGAAATCGCTTGACACTATTCTGAAACTCTTTAAATTATCAATGTATATGTTATAATAACCCCTTTCCCCGGACAGTGGCATATTCTGTCAGTGTGTGCATTGAATATTTAAAATATTCCTCCTTTAAATGCCGTTTGAACAGACAACTATTTTTTAAACTATCTGATACAAGAAAACAATACTTGTTAATAACATGCTTACAGCAAAATGTGATTAACTTCCTGTATCTTTTCACTTTACATAATGGCTCTGTAGACAATGACTGCAAATTGGAAAGCCATCTTTTTTGAATCCAGATTGCTGAGCTCTCTCTGAAAGGCTTTTCAGGAGATGATATGGATCAAGATAATTGGCGTGTCGTAGCGATGAGTGAATTCCATTCTTTTTCTAATAGTTGATTGATTTTTGCACGCATCTGTTGGCTTTTCAGTTTTGACTTCTGTATATTCATAATTCCCTGAGCGTGAAAAGAAACTTGTCAGTCGTATTTATGGATGTACGCTTTCGGAAGAACAGAGAAAGGAGGGCTGTGGGAATCTGCGTTAACAGAGGAACTTACAGGAGCTCTGTTTCTAACACATGAGCAATGTATGAGGGCTTCGTTGCTGGGAAATCCCTGGAATGTGAACTCTGTCAGTGGTCACGCACTGTCATTTCTTCCAGAATCCTTCCCTTGGTTTCAGTTTAGGAATATTCGATATTTTATATACACTCACCCTCTAACACCACACTCCGAGATGAGCTTCGTGCCAAATGCCTGTTTCTTTGATACCTTTCGAAAGAGGGATCTAATTTGTGAATGGGCAAGGACATCTTTTTTTATTGCCCATTTTTGTTTGTTTTATTTCAATAATTTCAATCCCTGTACGTAACACTGCACATTTGTAGTAAACCAAAAGAATTGGTGTTGCCTAGTATTACAGTATGAAATGTTAATATTGCAGCCTATATTACAGCCTTCAGTAGGTTGGGATGCATTGTATTCTGATTCTGTGTGTTCATCACCCAATTCAAATAACATTTATAGCTGCTATGAAGCACTACATATTGTAAACATTCTTCTTATAGCTGATATCATTAAAATGTGCACAATGCTTTTTGAAGCCAAATATACCAGAGCCATAGATAATTGTAGTACCTTGTTGGGCCACCAAGAGGCACTGTTTGCTAAGCAATCACACAAACTATTTGAAGAAGGTTTAATGTAGTTAAATTCATCAGTCCTTTTACGTTTTTGAATTTTGATGCCTTTTTGTAAGTGTCCCTCTGGAACACACCGGTGTTTGGAGCATCTCACTGTACGGCGATAAATGAGTGAAAAACACTTAAAAGCCAGGTTGAGCCGTGTTATAATGTAGTTCCGGTGGGTAGCTGCGTTGGCATGCATAGGCTGCAAAGGAACAAGTAATGGGTTTATTCCATGCTGAAAAGAGAAGAAAGAAAACACAACGTTTCGGCTGTGGAGCCTTCTTCGGGTGTAAGAAAGATAGGGCAGTCGGCAAAGATAATACAGTATGGGGAAACAAAGCCAGGAGAGAGGAGGAGGCGGGAGCAGGGGAGAGGCAGAGAGGCCAATCAAGTGGTACGAGGTCGAGAGAGCTGGGAAACGAATAGAGAGAATTCGGGGAAAACAAGTCTGTCGTTGAGAGAAGGGGGAAGGTGTTTCATTTCTGATATCTTTCTGGGCATGTACTGCAAGAGATATAGTAAATGAGGTTGCTGGAGGCTCTGCATAAGATTTAACATCTGTCGTACGGTCTTCAGGAACGTGTTGTGAGGGGTGCCTTGATAAAGAAACATTCGGCACCAGATTGTGAACAGCACCTCCAGAATTTCAGAGTTGCACTATTGTCTTGCATACAGCAAGACCACAGCCTGGCCATCCATACGTCCACTGATGCCGTGTCAGATCTCTGCAGTTTCAGGTCGCACTGCAAAGTCCGGCTTTTGCAAGAATTCTGAACATTTCCAATGCATCTTTTCAAGAGCTGATGGACAAAAAAATACGACTTAACACCAAGGTCACCTTTCCATGAGTTGAAAGTGGGAGGGTCAAATCTGATGAGTTTGGAATGTTAATTCAGGTACTGCAGATAATTCTTTCATCTTTGCGTGAATGCTGTGCTGTGGTACGCGTTTACCACGGCTGAAACGATATAAATATTCAGCAGCACCTCGCTTTGTCGCCCGCATCGCGCTGTGCAGCTTGCCTGGCGGTCTATTTTTACGGCTTCGCACAAGCCGAGCTGTTGTCCGACCTCAGGTGCACGCAGATCGTACAGACAAAAGAGTCGAGCTTTTATCACACGATCGGATAAAAATATTCGCCGCATCTTGTAGACCTCCCGACTGCAAGTGGCATCGGCTGGGTGGCTTCTCTTTTGCTTGCTCGAGACCCCACAAGGGCAGCTTCCGGGAAGGTCTGCTTTGCTGCGAAATGAGCAACTTCCTGAGGAGGTACGCTTGGAAAGAGTCTTTTCAGGCTTTGTCCCGCGACCTGGACCCCTCGTGAACCCGGGAAGCCGGTTCAGTGGGGCTGCAGTGGGGCTACAGTGGGGGTGATCGAAAAGAGCAGGATTGCAGGCCTTGGTATTCGACCAAGGTGCTTCTTGTCCATTGCGGACAAGGCGGACTAACTTCTTCTCGAAATCAAAGGGGATTCAGCCCTACAGGTTGTCCACAATGGGAAAACTCTGGCCTTGGTACTATTTTGGGGGGGTGTTTCATGGAGCACTGGAGAAACGGTCAGTTTTACCTCTTGCTGTTTCGTCACAGGGGTCTATAGCCCTGGGTTTAGAGCGAGGACCAATGGATTGGTCTCTGTGCTCTAGCTAGATTTAAGTGACCTCTTAGACTGAGTGACCTCTTCCAGCTGCCGGGCCATGCTGGTAGACTGTGGCTGGTGTTTGTCCTGGACATGTCCATGAAATCGGCCCTTGGCCGGTACCATCTGTAGTGGGCCATGACTCTTAATGCAAACAACTAAGAAGAAACCACAGACCATCTTTTGCATTGTATTGTTTAGAGTTTTATTTCATTTTAAACCTTGCTAATTTAAGACAAGCGAAGAAGCAACGTAAATTCACAACAATAATATGTGTCAATTCAGCATTAGAGAGACAAGAGATGGAGAGCGATGTTAGAATGCAGTTTGCAGTAATATTTATTGCAGACCTCATTTGACAAGCTTACATGAAGACAAATTACCCTTTCACGAATCAAAAATAATCAGCTATTTTAAATCAGTTGTCCCATTCACAATGTAAAGTGTAGTACCAGCTTTTCATTTTCCTTGTTAGATATTAAAGCAGTTAAAAAGTTTTTACAACAAATCTTAAGTTATCCTGGTTACTTGTACTATAATGCTGCTGTGGGAGATACAATTGTGTCCTTTAGTATAACATTTAGTTGGCATTATTTACAAAGCGTTCCTAAACCACAATCTTTCCACTTTCCACTTTCCCTCAGCACGATAAGTTCTGTTCTGGAGTCAGTGATCTAGGTTCTGAGTTTGGGTTTAATGGTGGCCAGTTGTTATTCCCCTAATTGAACTCCTACTGCGTCTACAGCTGCTTCATGTGCAGGAGTGGTGCGTCGCTTTCTGAGGTTCATTTACCAGAGGTTCCCAGCTGAAGGGCTCGAGATGATCATGAAATGGCATAAAGAACAGAAGAAGCAGGCGCTTGAATTGCACGATTGTGTCACACACGCAGAATGTGCACTCACACTTTCCCTGTACTGAGAGGAGTGTTCTGGGGTCAGGAGTCTGTGTCCACTGATCCGTGGAGTGAGAGTCCAGGAGCACTCTTGAACTGCATCTAAAGGTTTTGGGAAAAGCTGTTTCAAAGAGCATTGAAATTATTCTAACAAAATACGGACTAAGCTATGGGGTCTCTTTGAGGGATAGGGTAAAGAGATTGCAGTGTGAAGGCCGATTTACACACGCACGACCGGCGACAGGCGGGCTGCTGGCCGTAAAGGCGCGATGGGAATGGCGTCCTGTGTATCCGAGCGGGAGTACCCACGCTCCCGAGCGGAGAGAGAGAACAAGGGGGGTTTGGTTCTCGTACCTTCTCCTGCCGCCCGGCTGGTCTCGCGCGGGTCGTGTTTGTGCAAATCCACCGCTAGGCTGCCTTACGCCACCAGGATGATGTCCCCTATTTCCTCAGCGGTGGAGGGGCTGGGCTCCTCGGGGGGGGGCGCCGCGCTGTTGCTCTCGGGGTCGCCGGCGGCCGCGGTGCTCCCGGGGTCCTGCGTGCCATTGGCAGGGCCCCCCTCTGCCTGCTCCATCTCCGCGGGCGCGGCCTGGGGCTGGAGCTCTGCCATCATCACGCTGGTCTCGGAGAGCCCTGCCTCCTTGCCCGGCTCGCTGGCGTCGCCCCCGCCGCCGCCGCCCTGGGGCCGGTAGCTCTGGCCGGCCACCAGGTCGACGTTGGTGCGGGTGGGCCGGCTGCGCCCGGACCTCCGCTTCAGGAAGCACAGCTTGCAGGACAGCACAGTGGTGGACAGCAGCAGCATGACGAAAGCCAGAATGACGGCGCTCACTGTAAGCAGATCAAGGACTTGTCCTTCTGTAAATACACACTGCAGGTAAAAGGCCTCCGACTGGCACCCTGGTTTGCGTGATGGGGTGGCGGTACTGCAGATGCTCGTTTTGGATTGTGTAGAAGAATTTTGAGAAGGCGAAGTGGCGGACTTCTCTGTAAGGGAGCTTGTATTGAAAGAATTCGTTTCTGGTGAAGGTGATGGATTTGGGATTGTGCTATTATTTTGCGCGATGACTTGCATTACCAGTCCCAGGATCGCAGTGATCACCAGAAGATGGTTCCTCTTGAGGCCTTCCATACCTGCTGTGAGAACGAGTGGAGAAAGGACATGGCATTTTTAGATTTTCTGAAGTTTTTTTAGACGAAGCCCCAGGGGAAAGGGGAATTCGCCAACCCTGCACAAGCCACAAAAGAAATTCAGAATAGGTTTTTGATTTCTAGGTTGTAGAATTCAAACATCCAAGTTGCAAATGCATTTAATTCTGGACAAGTGTTACAGCACACAATTAGAAAATGGAAAGCGATGAACTTCAAGAAGCAACCCGTGAAAAAGGTTAGTGTATTTGACAGCATCATTTTAATATTTCGAGACAGTATGTGGAAGCAGAAAAAAATGGCAAACGTTGTTGTGTATGTACGTAAAAGTGTAAATTTTTAAATCCATGTCTGTTATGTTGAAGCTGAGCAATGCGTTAGCAAGACTTAGATTTAGAATGTGGTTAACTCTTCTCAGTATTCTCATTATTATACATAGCTGATTTTGAGGCATCTGAATTAGTCTAGAGAAGAAGCACTTAGTAACTTCCGTAGCTCGCAGAGGTGTACATTTCTGTCAGTCTTAAAAAGCTATTTTAGTGAAAGAGAAAGCAACCAGGGGACCTGATTTTAAAACTTGTAATCCTCAGAGGCTTTGATCAAGTCACGCCAATGGAGCTACTTAGCCTTGTTGGCAAAGCAAATAACATGGCTTCTTTTACAAAACACCTGAATGAAATTATAGGATCGGTTAGCTCCAATTAGTTATGGCAGTCAGATGACCTCATCTTGTTTACAGACTTCAAGTAATAAGCTTTGAGTATTGGGTTGGGATTATGTTTGTCTATCCCTGTATCTGAATATACATCCATCCTAGCATATACAGTATGGTGCATATGCTTCAATATAAATGCCAGTCTCTTGAGGGTTTTTTTTTTAAGAATATTTGAGCATAATCAAATTCCGTAGGCTTCTAATCAGGATTTCACGATGCACATCTGGCCACTGTTAAAGAAAAATCCATTTAAAACAAGATAAGCTAGTGATTTCACAGATGTCCTACAGTATGTCCTCAAGCTTTTCATATATGTGTTTTTTCTTTTTGTCCTTGTTCATTTATAGTTTCTGGTGGTTTGGCCCTTAAAATTAGCAAGGGAAAGACACCTGACCCTAAATAAAGATGCGACACTTGTGAGTCAGACTGGACTTGCACAACGTAGCACAGAGGGAAACTTATTTTATATGTAGTTATTAATACAGTCCTTTCATACCCTCTGGCCAACACGGAGTCTTGATAGCTGTTCGTTGGTAGCTTTTGGTGAAGGCGAATGACTTATTTCATACCCGATTAAGCTGAAGCTGGATTGAAATGAAACCAGAGCTTCCAGTCATAATGGAAACTTGTCTGGGCTATTCATTAAGGCTAAGGCAATTTACTGATCCATGGACATATCAGATCGAGACATAATTTGAATCATTAATTGCTGATCATTTATCATTTATTAGCAGAGAACCTTTTTTCCAGTTGGGGTAGTTTGGTTTGAGGGCAGAAGGCCTGTAAAAAAGCTGTGTGAGACTGTTTCCTGTCCTTTAGAAACCTGTCTGTTCTCTCTGTGTGCTGCATGTGAGCTGTAGATAGTGCAGGTAGTGACAGATAAGTGGTGCTGTTCTTTCAAGTGGTTGTCAGTTCAAATTATGTACTTTGTTTGAGCTGAAACCGTTTCGGGCTTTGCTGTGAAGAAGAGTCGGTGGCCAGTTTCTGTAAAGATTAAACTTAAAATAATCCGTCTGTAGCAAATCTAATGATTTCTTTTTGCTACATTATGTCTTTCAGATAGTTTAGCTTTTTTCTTTAAATATCTCTAAAATATATTATCTACACTATATCTATACAGTAAACATATAAAAAGATAAGGTACGCCTTTCATTTTATGACTCACTAAGTAGAGTATTATCAATAATTAAGATGATTTAGTTTTATGCCAACCCTGAATTCTGAAAAACCTATTTTATTTTTTTAAAGAAAACTTTTTTTACTCAACATTGTATTCAACATTCTGCACTGTTACTAGGCTGAGTGACCACGATTATTTCTCATGCTTGATAAATGTGCTTCTTTTCAAAGCAGCCAGTTTCCCAGGACTGTTATACAGTGTGAGGATGAACCGTTTGCTTTGTTTACTTCTGTGAAATAAAATCAAGATCCCAATCTGGGGAAAGGAAAAGACATTTGTTCTTGTGCAATAATAGTAGCTTTTCTGTTACCTGAAAACTCAACTTCTGGCAAGTACGTACGTTGCTTATTTTAAAAAAAAGTATTTGACTTTTAAATCAAAGTTTATCTTTGCAATTTCAAACCTACGGGACTGAAATTGAATTTGGCATTATGCAGATGATTCAATTGGACTCTGTGCTGCCTGCACTTTTTTTCCCCCTTCCTTTTAATCTTTTCGATACGGGTAACTGGGTGCTCTTTAAAGTTTAAATGCTAAAAGCATCGTCAGTACCGATGGGCTCTCTGGAGCGCAGGTGAAATAGGCTGTGCGCTTACCTGAGGATGATGGGACTGTGCGAGGGGCCTTGGTCGTCTCCGGGTCGGGCCGGGCTGGGACTGGGAGGACGTCAGGCGAGGTTTGGCAGCTGGAGGGGTGTGAAAGGCAGGGGGTGCTTGCCGATGGACTAGGGGCTGTGAGTAACCAGTGCGTCAGAGCTGCTAGCCACTTGGGGGACTGCTGCGGCTGAGCAAACCACAGGCACTGTGACACACTTCCGCCCTCTGCTTCTGCTTGTGATATTTTTGGGGATGTTTAAATTCCTTTGTCTCACAGATGTTCTTCACATGCTGCATGTGCGAGAGAATAAAAAGTTGCTTTCTTTTTTTTTTTCCCCAAAGAAAGAAAACCGGTTGTCACAGCCAAAGGTAGTGATTAATTAGTGCTATCCCAGCATAAAATTCCCCTCCTGCCCGCTCAATGCCAGATTTACCCAGTGTAATGCTTTTTTTCCTCAATCAGTGCAGAGACAGGGACTCGTAGCGAAATCTGAGCAGAACTGCAGGTTGTTTGAAAGTTGCAATGGCAGAGGTGTAATTCGGCAGTGTGTTTGTGTAGCACCCAGTGAAAATTGCCAATTACTAAGCGACGAGTTCTGTGTACAGTACATATATTGTGTATTGTGAGTGTTGTGTGACTTTCTGTTGGCTTGCGGTGGGGAGGTTTAAAATGAAAGACGGTTTAAAAAAATGGCAAGGGTGTGCTCTTTAATAAAGACCCATAATAAAAAGGGTCAGTTTGTGGGGAGTAACATTTGTAGACTTGCACGTAGCTAGAGTTGGGTTCTTGTGGTCCCTTCCAGAGCTTTCACTTCCTCTGCTCTCTCTGCTGACCTGTGATAAGTCTTTCAGTCCAGCATACTGTATGGTCGGCAGCTTTAAATAAACAACAGCTGCCCGGGTTCTCTCTTCCTTGCACACTGCATCCCCAGCTGTGCACTGTGGTTCGTTTTTTAAATGCTTCATATACAGTATAAATCCATGTCGTCCATACCATTCCCCCCCTTAACTTTTAATAAGCGTGCTTCCTTCGTTATAAGCAAAACTGCAGTGCCTCGTCAGGCCAAACGACTAGAGAAGTGGGACAAAGTTTGGAGTCGTTAAGACATTCTGCATTTAACCAGATGAACTCCCCCCTCAAAAAGCACACTGTCACTGTTGACTAAATGATCTGTTTTGTGAGATATGCAGATCTTCGTCTCTCTGCATTTAATGGATTTTTGATCCAATTCTTTTTAAATCGCAAACTCAAAGGTAAAATGGTGCATATAGGAAATATAGAGATGATGTGGTGAAACTATGACTCTAAAGTTGTAGCCTGTGTTCAGGGGCATGGGTATGTGGTCAGAATGGTGAGTGCAAATGCAGCTCGCAGTGACAGTTTCTTGACTTTGCTGCCTTGCCTCTCCAGGTTTAAGACTGGTCAGATCAACGGGGACCTCCTCATCTACCACGTGCTACTGACCCTGAAGCCCTACTACGCCAAGCCCTACGAGATAGTGGTGGATCTCACCCACGCCGGTCCCAGTAACCGGTTCAAAACCGACTTCCTGTCCAAGTGGTTCGTGGTCTTCCCGGGCTTCGCGTACGAGAATGTGGCGGCCGTGTACATCTACAACTGCAACTCCTGGGTGCGGGAGTACACCAAGTACCACGAGCGCCTCCTCACCGGGCTCAAGGGCAGCAAGAAGCTCCTGTTCATCGACTCGCCCGGGCGGCTGGCGGAGCACGTGGAGCCCGACCAGCAGAAGCTTCCCGCTGCCACGCTGGCCCTGGAGGAGGACCTGAAGGTGTTTCACAACGCCCTCAAACTGGCGCACAAGGACACCAAGGTCTCCATCAAGGTATGGCCTAGGGTGCTGGGCTCGACCAGAGGGGAGCTCTGGAGGAGACGCGAGTGGGCAACTCGGTGGGTGGGAGATGGGAGTTGTGGGCAACTCCTCCGCAACCAGCTCTGCGCTCTCTTGTCTCGCTCCTGTGGCGTCTCTCCCCTCTCGCTCTGATCCTGGTGTTGCTCTCCTGTGCCGCAGGTGGGCTCCACCGCCGTGCAGGTGACCTCGGCAGAGCGCACGCGCGTCCTGGGCCAGTCCGTCTTCCTCAACGACATCTACTACGCCTCGGAGATCGAGGAGATCTGCCTGGTGGACGAGAACCAGTTCACCCTGACCATCGCCAACACGGGCACCCCGCTGACCTTCATGCACCAGGAGTGTGAGGCCATCGTGCAGTCCATCATCCACATCCGCACTCGCTGGGAGCTCTCGCAGCCCGACTCCATCCCCCAGCACACCAAGATCCGGCCCAAAGATGTCCCAGGGACGCTGCTCAACATCGCCCTGCTCAATCTGGGCAGCTCCGACCCCAGCTTGCGGTAATTCTGAGCAGGAATCTATATGTCTTCAGTTTGTAGTGTTCGCTATGATGGGATTTCAACTGGTTACTCTTCATATTGGACTTCTCAGCCAATACTAGGGTTAAACTCAAAAGAACTGCTTTGTATGGCTCATGTCACGTAACCTTAAACAAGTAACTTTCAGGTATTTTAGAACTGAGTTTCATGTGAGTATCATTACAGGCGTTTAGTTTGGACCAGTCTTTCCAATCTGGACTTCACTGGCCAGGGCAACCACGTATATTTTTCAACTTGAGATAAATGGTCGGGATCATCGTGTAGTCTGTATGGCCTTGACTATTAAATAATTCAGGTAAAACAAGAAATATAGAAATAGAAAGGGCTGCATTTCATTAAAATTTAACACAAGTCATAAAAGCTTCAGAAAAATGTGAAACAGTGGACGAAGCTGAGAGGTTGAGAAAGGGATCTACTGCAAAGCGAAACCCGTTGTGCTCTCCTCCCTTGCAGTTCTGCAGCCTATAACCTGCTGTGTGCCTTAACCTGCACCTTCAACCTGAAGATCGAGGGTCAGCTGCTGGAGACATCAGGTCTCTGCATCCCGGCCAACAACACGCTCTTCATCGTCTCCATCAGCAAGACGCTGGCCGCCAACGAGCCCCACCTCACGCTGGAGTTCCTGGAGGAGTGCATCTCGGGCTTCAGCAAATCCAGTCAGTGCCCACGCAGTGACGACTGCGTCACGTGAAAAAACATGCCATACACGTATATACTCATGAACGCGTGTCATCATTGGTGCGCACATACTATATCGACAGACATCCACAACTGTCCAAATGTTTGCACATGGCTGAGGACTATAGAGGCAGTTCAAGTTCATGAAAATAATCTCTTTCAGTAAATTTAATACTAAAAAATTCCCTTTTTTCCAGCTCAAAGACTGCTGGGTCTCATTGAAACCCATCTGTCATTTGAAATGACTTGTCATGACTGTGCAAAACTGTACGCTTCAACGTGATCAGAAATTATATTGCAGACCAGAAGAGATGCTCCTTAGAAGAACAGTTGCCTTTTGTTGAACATTGTCTTGCAAAATAATAAGCGTCAAGTTGTTCTGGAAGGTGTAGCCTGCAGTTTTCTTGCGATCATTAGCTGGCCAAGTCGAAATTAAAGAGATCCGACCTCTTTGCTGGTTTATGTTCCTTTTTCTTTTTTTTTTTTTACCCTCTCCGATATGGTTTCAGGCATCGAGCTGAAGCACCTGTGTCTGGAGTACATGACGCCCTGGCTGCTGAATCTGGTGCGCTTCTGCAAACACAACGATGACGCCAAGAGGCAGAGAGTCACGGCCATCCTGGACAAGCTCATCACCATGACCATCAACGAAAAGCAGATGTACCCATCCATCCAGGCCAAGATCTGGGGAAGTCTAGGGCAGGTAGGAACAGGTCTCCCCCCTGTACCTTTTAAAAGCATGATCTTGTCCTGCCCTGTCCCCACCTTGGAGAGCTAAAAACCCACACCTTGCCTACTGAGCATTTGCTGTCCCACTGGTTGCCTCTCTTTGAAAGTGGAAAGAGCTGATCTTTAAATTGAAGGGGGATCACCTCAATCCTGCAGGTCCCTTGTCAACCCCTTTTAGGTATGTTCTGTGTCTCTAGATCGAAACAAGCAGACCAGCCAGGGAACAGAAGATTGCTAGAAGAGGTAGTGCTGTTAGTTTTTTTCAGAATAAAGCCTTTGAAGAAGAGGAACAGAAATACACCCTCATCTTTATTTTTGACTTTAAAGTTACCCTGTGTAATAACACTTTTTTAGTGTAGGAAAGTTTTTATTTTTAAAAAATCAGAACTGTAGGAAGTGAAATCAGAGGCTGTTTATAACGTACACAATTGATGAAGTCAGGACTTAACTGTTCTCCTCTCTAGAGACAGCAGCTGCAGTCAGGCATGGTGAGGGTGGAGGGAGTAGAAAGCTGACCTACACAGAGGCTTCTTTATATATTCAATATTTATTCTTTCATTTTATATAATACTTTAATACGGGGGTGATCAAGTGTGTATGAATTATGACTAGGGCCTGGCCTTTTTCATGCAGAACTCATGATCTAACCACTATTTCAGTTCTCCAGCACCAACAGGGCAGTATTACATCTTCTAAACCTATTTATTAAACAGTTGTCCCATTACGATACCTTAATCATCTCAATCAATGAATTACTAAAATGTCCGTGTACAAAGGATGTGTATTTATATCAGTATACACAGTGTAAACTATTGGCACAAATGTAGTTTATTCAGTAGCATCACATATGCTGTCATGAATTAAAATGATCACGGGTAGTCTAGATACTGAGTTACTCAAATAAGAAAATGAATGCAACAGCATTATTTTGCTGTCAAATGTGATCCTTGGGTGGTTTGCTTGTTGACAGAGAAAAATTTTGATATTTTCAAAGTCCTCTTCAGTTGTGTTTAAACGTTTCATGCTGCCCTTTGCAACAGTAATGCACAGAATGCAGATAGATTGCATTTACTAGAAGTACCTTTTTGTTCTTGCACAAAGGTACCTTGAACAAACAAAATGTTAAAACTTAAGTGATCTTTTGCATCTGCAGATTTGACAGTAGTCGCAGGTACACTGTCAGATATTATGATCTGGTATTTAACTTAGTTTTTGTGCGAACCAGTGTGCTGTAATTACTCCTATCTCATTTCACTCAATGAAATGCTGTACAGTGTAGTTTAGATGTCCATTTTCAATTAACTAGACTATTTTCTTCCAGCTTGACAGCTTATTGATTACCACTTATCATACCTATTTTCTAAATGTATCAAGAAAAACTGTGATGGCAACTCTACCACTTTGTAGCCTGATAAACAGGCTAGGCCTGGTGAGTGCCAGAATGGGATCGTGGCTTTAAATGGTGTTAGTGTGCTAGTCAGGGTGCTCTTTTAGAATCTGAATTTCAAAATCAATGCCCCATTATTGGGACTGTGGACGCTGTCCTGTAGGAGATGCCATTCTTTAGACAAGATGTTAAGCTGAACTTCCGACACCTGGGTCAGTACAGACCTCAAGGCCCTGTTCATCGGAGAAGGGACATTAACTCTGGTGTCCTGAGTAAATTCCCCTGTAGGCTGGCACAATCTGGTCTCCCTAAAAATCCCCCCTTAATTCAGCTGGTGAAGCGATTTCTCACTTCACCAGCTCCTCTGTGCAGCGTGGCTGCTGGCAATGAAGAGTTTCCCATCCTATATGTAAAAGCACTTTGTAATCTTTGGGTGTGAAAAATGCTGTAGAAATACAAGCAAGCAAATGCAGTGTTTTACATCCTTGAAAGCTAAGCTGTACAGCCAGATAGCCAAGATTCTCTGGAGCTCTGAAGCGCCCCCCTGTATCCTCCTCAGATCACAGACCTGCTGGACGTGGTGTTGGACAGCTTCATCAAGACCAGCGCTACAGGCGGGTTGGGCTCCATCAAAGCGGAAGTCATGGCTGACACAGCTGTGGCTCTGGCGTCCGGCAACGTTAAGCTGGTTTCAAGCAAGGTAAATAGGCAGCTTGCCCCCACGATCCCTGAACAGACCCTGACCAGCTCTGAGCCAACAACGAGCAAGACCTCACGCAGTGCCTCCCTCTTCCTCTGCCGTGATAATATTGCCTCCAAAACATTTTACAAATATCAAAGGCAGTATGGTATTCGGCAACACAGTTGTAAAAAATAAGCTTTAAGTCACCATTAACACAAAGATTAAACCTGCTTAGGGTTTTACTGACACCCTATCTTAAAAGCAGAACTCCGGCTTTAATATTTGCATTGTCCACTGGGAAGATGACTTACCAGCTGGCTGTAGTTCTGTTGAGCTTCCTTAAATTCAAATCACTGCCCTTGTTCCTCTAAACTTCTAGTCCTCATCCGCGGTCTGTTCATAGCGTTGCCTGTTCACGCTAACAGACACAGACACGCGTACACAGCGCCCTGTGCTGTGCTGTAGGAACCCCTGACTGCGTTCATCAGAGACAGAAGACAAGCCTATCTGTCCCACATTCTGACGCCACCCGTTTGAACGGGCTGTTAAACACACCTGGTTGCCAGTGTACATCCATATTTAAAGGTCATTCAGCTCCTTCGATGCGCCACGGTTTTTCCCACCCCTCCCCCCCCAGAAATCAGACGCATCTCTGTGTGTAACTGGCATCTGCACCGAAGCGGCTGAGGTAATGGGTAGTGCCAACAAGAGAAAAGCCTCTGTGCACAAGGACGCCCTTTGTCCCAATAAGAGGAATAGGCAGCGATTCATAAACTCTCGGTGGTGATGTCACAGTTCTCCGTTTAAATTCCCCATTTCAGAACCAACTCAGTGCTGCGCGCCAATTTAAAAATCACCCCCGGTCAGGATTATTTTAAAACTGGGCGCTGGCACGGGTTCACATTTCCAGCAGCGTAGCGCACGGCTCCGTTAGAGCTGTTGCTGGTGGTTTGAGAGATGCCGCTCAGGCCTGCAAGGGCGCTGGCTGAAAGTAACACCCGATTGTGTAAACGTCCGCTCTGCCCGGCAGGTGATCGGGAGGATGTGCAAAATCATCGACAAGACCTGCCTGTCGCCGACCCCTACGCTGGAGCAGCACCTGATGTGGGACGACATCGCCATCCTGGCGCGCTACATGCTGATGCTGTCCTTCAATAACTCGCTGGACGTGGCGGCCCACCTGCCCTACCTCTTCCACGTGGTGACGCTGCTCGTGGCCACCGGGCCGCTGTCCCTGCGCGCCTCCACGCACGGCCTGGTCATCAACATCATCCACTCCCTCTGCACCTGCTCCCAGCTCAACTTCAGCGGTGAGGGCCACGCTCCCAGATCGCCAGGGCTGTCCGCACGTCCGCTTCCACAGCTGATGGAAGGGACCGAAGGCCGCGCAGCTGTGCCGTCACAGCTTTTTTTTTTTGTAGCCAGAAAATCCCTTCTATCCCCAAGCGAGCCAGAATTTTGCACTGTCTGGAAGTTCGGATCATAATATTGTGCCGTTGTGCACACCATGAACGGGTGCTCTGAAAATCAAAGATTGAGTTGATTGATTGTGCAGGCCCCCAAGCTATTGGTTTTGGAGTCAGCTGGAATTCTAGCTCCTGGAAATCAGCTGCCAGGAAGTCTAGAGGGCAAGAAAGACTGCTGTGTGACTCAGCCTTATCAGTTGGTTATGATACAAGATTGGTTATTGATTGCTTGAAAGGAAGCCTTAATAGTTAAAGACTGTTCTCCACTGCTTACTACATTAGAAGGTTTTTCCTCCGTGTTACAGGAAAACAGTAAATCAGAAGGTCCAACTGACCCAGTATTTTACATATTCAGCAGACTTTTACTCCTTACTAGCAGCTTAGGGACTGATTTATAAGAAAAGCAGCCTTGTTTTGCTTGAAGTTCAAAAGCACAGATAGAAATGTATTCAAGTGGAGGAACGTTTGTCTTTCCTTTGCTTTGGAAACTCACCCTAATGTCAATGTTCTTATATAGCTCACGGTTGGAGATGCACATAGACCTTATTTCACCAGATACTAGAACGTGAACTTGCTCTGGGGGGAAAGAGCCCCTCGTGAGCGTCCGTGACCGTGTTGTATTTTGTGATTGATCCGTTCCTCTTTCGCCTCCCCGCAGAGGAGACCAAACAGGTCCTGCGTCTCAGCCTGACGGAGTTCTCCCTGCCCAAGTTCTACCTGCTCTTCGGGATCAGCAAGGTCAAGTCGGCCGCCGTCATCGCCTTCCGCTCCAGCTACCGGGACCGCTCCTTCTCCCCGGGCTCGTACGAGCGCGAGACCTTCGCCCTCACCTCCCTGGAGACGGTCACCGAGGCGCTGCTGGAGATCATGGAGGTGAGCGCCGTGGGCAGGACCAGGCCCAGACAGCAAGCCACCCGGAGGCTGACCACAGCCATTCTTCCTACGAGCCCAGCTCGCTGCGCTGTGCAGGCTAGAGTAGGAAATGCAAAGAAACACTTTATAGGAACTAAAGGAAAGATAAAGACTATCCTCCATTGCTTAGTGTATTAGTCTTACTCAGACACGTCACAGGAAAGCAGAAGAGCCAACTGGCCCTATTTCTTACGTGTTCGGCAGAACGCTTTTACTGCTCACTGAAAAGAATAGATATAGAACTGATAAAGAAGCGGTTTCCTTGTAGTCGGGGTTTTCGTAGGAACAATAACAAAAGGAGGCCATTCTCCCTGTCCGGCCCGTCTGGCACTTAGTCATTAAGTGATACGAGAAGGTCACCCGGGCGTTTCTTGAAAAAACCCACGGTATCGGCCTCAGCCGCATGGTTCCACACTTTACACGCTGTGTCAAGAAGTGCCCCCTGTTCTTGGTTTTAAATGCACTTCCATGTAGTATCCAGTTGTGCCCTTTTGTTTTTGTGTTTCACTGTTCATTCTGAAGAAATCTGCTGTGTTGACCTTATTGGTGCCTTTCAGGTTGTTGAGTTCTTTAGCTGTATCACGTCACCTTGGTGTCTCGTCAGTTCAGCACTTAAAAGATTTCACTTTCCTTGCAGGCGTGTATGAGGGATATTCCCACATGCAAGTGGCTGGATCAGTGGACAGAGCTGGCCCAGAAGTACGTGCAGCTCAGATGGAAACTTGTAAACTCTTATTTTCTACTGTGTTTTCTGCTTTAACCCCTGATGACCTGTTTGTGGGGGGACAAAGTAAACTTTTTTGTTGTAATTTTTTGACATTACTTTGGCTGCATGTTTTTCGACATTCATATTGGATAAATGTATATATAAACGAAAAGCCCAAATCAAATGATTGGTACTCAGCTGCAAATGATTAAACATGTTGGTTCCAGTGGGGGCGTGACCTGTTGCTAAGAGCTCTGGTGTGCATGTCTTCTCTTGCCCCTCCCATTGAAATGCGTTACTGAGGGTTCTGGTGTGGGCGTTGTCCTGTTGCTAAAGGCCCTGTTGCGTTTCCATGTGGGAAGGATCTGTTGCTATTGGCAGCGGTGTGGGTGTGTCCTCTGCCTAACGTACCTCCCTCCCTGGGCAGGTTTGCTTTCCAGTACAATCCGTCCCTGCAGCCCCGAGCTCTGGTGGTGTTTGGCTGCATCAGCAAAAGGGTGTCTCATGGCCAGATCAAACAGATCATACGCATCCTCAGCAAGGCAAGTGCTCTCCTCTGTGCCCAGTGCACAGGGTTTCTTTCCACATCTGTCTCTCTGCATCTGTCCGTCTTTATGCCCATTACAGTTCAACCTCGCAAAGTGTAGGAGACACACGATCTGCAGAAAACAGGAACTCGGT